CACACGACAACATGTTTAACATGCAGACTCACTCTACATGTTTCTGACCATAGCTCAATTAGATCTCATTTAAATATTCATCGAGACCTACTGGACACTATTTGTAACATACTTGTTGACAACACTAATATAATAGCATCATCTACATGCAAAAAAAGGCTAAAAATAATGGAAGCCTTATTAATAAAAACCAAAATCAACACTTAATAATATTAACTTTGAACATGGACACAATATCTTGACCGTGTTTTGAAAAAAATGAAAACATTTTATAAAACATACATGCAGCAAACTATTTCTTATTTAACAGTTAAAATATTTAATCCTTGAAAATGGCTAAATGTATAACTGAACGTGCTTGGATAAAAAGAACATTCGGACAGTTTTTATTGAATTTATCATCTGAAAAGAAAAAATTATTAGATAGCATGAGAAATTGCATAATGTTGGTGTGATCGACAAACAAGACAACTTGCCAAAGGACTTAAAACTTTAGATGAGAAAAAAAAATGTCAGATAAAAACCAATAAAAATTCTTTCTTAACAATTTCTTTATTTAATTTGAACTATTTTCCTGATTTCTAATACAAATTTAAATGTAAATTTTTCAATATCTGTGCACTTTTGGCTTTTATAAGCAATTATCAAAGTTTTGTTATTTGTGCTATGATGACTTCATAATTTTCAAATAATCCATTTTTTTATTGTATCTTCACATATGACAGTTGATGTCAAAGAATTGGTTTTATTTATTTACAAAATATATTTAGCATATTTCTTTCTAAATTTGATAATATTTTATTAATAATGAGTTGTTTGCTTTTATTCCTAATACTTCTAATATCTTTTACATTTTATGAGATATAGTATATTAGTGCTTCTTTTTTCTATTTGCTATTTCAGGATATAAGCGATCATGTTTCTCCACAGCTTTCTATCTTATGTGGCTCTTAGCAGTTTTTCTCCCTTTGCTAAGGGCATCCATCCCGTTTCACCATCCATTCATACAAGCTGATTAGCTAAGTAGCTTACTGCCTTCCCCTATCTCTATTGCCCTCAATATGCCATGTGAGGGTTAAGTTTTCCAAGCCTTCCTTCCTCATTATGTGTCCAAGGGATTTCAGCTGTCTTTTCCTGATTCTGAGTATGTGTTCTTTCTGTTGTCATTTCCTTTAAGACTTCCTTGTTGCTTACTTGCTCCGTCCATGGAATTCTCAGTATGCTTCTGTAGGACCACTTTTTTACTGCCCCTAGTTTTTGTCTCATCCTTATGGAAATTGCTCTACATATCACCACTATATATGAAGACGGATAACCACATATTAATCCAACATTCTTTTCTTTGTTTCTAACACATTTTTTTCATTTCTCAGCACCTTACTTAGCTTTTGGAATATCTTTTTTGCTAGTCCAATATATATTTGGACCTTGGTCTCACATTTTCCATCCTCTGTTAAAACACTTTCTGTCTTCTTCTTCTTCAGGACATAGACGATCATGGTCCTCCACAACTTTCTATTCCATGTGGCTTTTAGCTGTTTTTCTGACTTTGCTACCCCACACCCCGGTTCCACCATCCATTCGCACAAACTCGTCAGGTAAGTAGCTGACTGCCTTCTCCTATCTCTTTTGCCCTCAATATGCCATGTGAGGGTTAAGTTTTCCAAGCCTTCCTTCCTCATTATGTGTCCAAGGGATTTCAGTTGTCTTTTCCTAATTCTGAATATGAGTGTTCTTTCTGTTGCCATTTCCTTGAAGACTTCCTTGTTGCTTACTCACTTCATCCATGGAATTCTCAGTATCCTTCTGTAGACCCACTTTTTTACTGCCCCTGGTTTTTTCCTTTTTTTGCATTGAGATTGTTCAACAATCACTGCCATATAAAAGAATTGTTATCACATTGCAATCCACAATTCCTTTCTTTGTTTCTAATGATATTTTTTCATTTCTCAGAATTTTGCTTAGTTTTGGGAATGCTTCTTTTCTGGTGATCCATTATTTGGGCAGAAACTTCTCTTTACACCAAAGAAAAGGTTCAGGACATTCACTAATGTACACAGTATTTTTTTGAAAGTGTCTAGATTAAAAAAAGTGTTGTATTATTTCTACACCATACATTAATATGAATAAATAAAAACCATTTTCTCTCTCTTCTAGCCATTTGTATAACACCTGCACAAATATTTCAGCAGGAAAATGCAGAGTAAACCATAGACAGGGCGTGTAAGTAATGAGGACATTTTAAGAAAAATTGAAACAAAAAAGATGATTTATAATTAGAATCAGCAAGACCCAGTTGAAATTTCTTGTGTGCATAATGAGGCAAGAAGGCTTGAGAAATTTGTCATTCACACGATATATAAAAGGCAAGAGGGCAGAGGGAAACAGCGAGTAACCTAATAAACAACTTTTATGTTCAGTTAAATCCTATATCATCAACCAACACACACAAACATGTATACACCAGCACATGCATATATGTATGCATGCACACACATATATGTATGCACACACACACACACACAGGCACACACACACACACACACACACATGTGCATACATAAATGCACACCCACATACACACTCCCAAAGAAATTTTATTAAAGTGTCTGTTTAGTTTTTCATTGCATTTTTCTAATTTTTGAATAAGATGTACATTGGGATCAAAATTATGAATAAACTGTCCAAAGTTCAGACTTTCTACTGTATTTAAGTTCTTTTGACTGTCTCAGTCATTTTCAAGAATTGGGTGTTGTCGATATGTTCATGCTGATGTCTTTACAGTGATGGTAATTGAATCAAACCATTAAACACAAAAATCTTATTTCTCATCTTCCAGTTATGTGCTCATGATTCTATATACAGGTCACTGAGGGATTAAGAGGAGTGAGAGAAAAATAAAATCAAACCTTCTGAGTTCCTTTCATTAGGGCTAATACTTTAGGTTACTTATAGTCATAACTTTTTCTTATTTTAAATTTATTAATTTCCAAATCTGAAGTAATGTTTATTAGATTTAGCTTAACAATTTTATTTAGTCTTTTTTTTTTACCATGATTTGATTGTAGGTAGTATAGTAGGAATTTGTTTTTGTGTCTCCATTTTCAAATTAGCATTGTTCGTTTGTTTAGGAGTTGATATTGTTATGGGAATGGGATTCATTCTCTTTAATCCTCTCAGCAATAATAGGATTGTTTTGAGGTGCTTTTATAAGCTGGTTAAAGAACAGAATGGAATTTGGCATTACCATGAGAACTATATTTTGAATTTATCATGATGTTTGTTTGAAAATATAAAATGGAAGTAGTGTAGCTTGTCATGTTTTTTTCAAAAGTTATAACTAGTGAAGAAAACCATTGAACTGAATGGAATATAAACTAGTCGAGGAACCTAATTTAAATAATAAAACAAAACGCACTAATATACAATACAATGAAATTTTAATTTTTTAACATTTTTTATTGTTCAAGACATAAAATTTAATTCTAGTTGAGCACTCTTGAGAGAAAGCACGAATTTGTAAACAATGACCACTACTGCTAATACTGCAAACCTCTTCTATAAGTTGAGCCTTCTTGGTTATTGGTGCGTTTATTCGAAGAATAAGTATGTAAAAATCCACCTTCCTCTCTACTGGGTGCTGATAACTCAGGGGTAAAATCTCTGGCTGATGCCAAATCAGTCAAGTGTCAATCCTGGCTTGAGGCAACACAGATGTCTGTCTATGATGATGAGTTGTGATACAGTGAAACATTCTGTCTGTGGATAACAATATATATATATATATATATATATATATATATATAAGTGTGTCTGTGTGTGTGTGTGTGTGTGTGTGTGTACAGGTAATAGTTTTCCATCTGTTGGTATAATCCAGGTGAGTCCTATTAACACAAAATAGAATTTGAAATATGTTAAAACTGACTCACAAAAGAGCACTCAATGTTTATTTTCATTAAACAGAGCAAATTTTCTTTACAATTGGAATTAAGATACCTTTAGTTATGACCATTTTCACCTACAAATTTTGTAGGAAAATTCATAGGTGAAAATGGTCATTAACTAAAGGTATCTTAATACCAATTATAAAGTGTATATATATATATATATATATATATATATATATATATATATATATATATATGTATTATATGTATTATCTTATACTTATACTGGGCGGTGTGATAAAACAGATAATACAATTTTTAAATAAAGATATTGAACAAACTGATAGCAGGAAAAAAAAATTAAACAAAAAAGAAAAAACTAAAAACATCTGTGCTGGTTGAAAATAATCAGTCAGCACCACAATGCCTAGTCAAAAGAAAAAAACACCGACAGAGTAAATTAAGTAAAAACATAAAAGTGCTCAATACAATAAGTAGAGCAAAATCTAAGAAAACCTAGTGAGCCAGAACCTACCTACCAAGGATGTTTAGGGTACTACTGCCAGTAGTATCCTGAAGATCCATTAGATGAAACCTTGGTAGGTAGGGTCTGGCTCATTAGTTTTATATATATATATATATATATATATATATATATATATATATTACTACAGCCAGTAGGTTGATAAACGTAAAAGAAGTAGGAAGGACAGTTTTTTTTCCTTTCTCCACTTAATCCTCCAGTGGATTTATATAGAGCCTGTGAAAGGCATATAGCACATTGTCTTGAAATCACTTGAGGCATGGGAATTGACAATCACCATGTATGTTCAAACTATATATATATATATATATATATATATATATATATATATATATATATATATATATATATGTGTGTGTGTGTGTGTGTGTGTGTGTGTGTGTGTTTGTAGAGATGAAATTAAAAATCATGTTTGTAGATAACTAAGTTTATTAATATTATGTTTTGAATTTGTTTTCACAATATGCCAGCCCCTATATTATGAGAAGGTGCCATTATGATCAATGAATACACCAAGTCTGGCACAAAACTACATTTTGGAGAGTCTTATCTAGATTTACTATCAACAGTCTACTATCACTAACAGCTCCATTCCTTCTGTTTTAAATTCTTTCTTTCAAGTTTGTCTCTTTCTCGCCATGTTTCTCTCATCTTGTCAACCTGTTACTTATTTTTTCATTCATATTACTTTTTTATCTCATGACTTTCTTCAATTTTCCTTTTCCATCTCTCGATTGCTCCATTGTTTTTCTTTTCACTCATTTTCTACTACACATCATCTCTCTCCTATCTCTTCACTGGTTCCCTTACCGTGCCTTACTTTTCTTTCATTTGTGTATATATTCCAATATCTAATCTTGTCTTCCACCGAAATTAGCTTCCTCTCCTCTTCCAAATCCACCATATACTTTCTTTTATTTAGAGTCTTTCTTTTGTTTTGCCTTTGACAGGATTATCTTAATGACTTTAACCTTTTAATCTTATCAAGGCACTAATTTAATTTTCTGCCACTTTTCAAACTCATGAGCAAACACAGATCTACCCACCCCATACATACACACACTAATGCAAGGCATGTCATTTTCTGTCTGACCTGTATCTCCCAAATCTAACTAAATGACCAAAAATAAGTATTTCTTTGGAAGGACTTATTTGTTGGGCAGAGAACTTTTCAGCACCACCTCAAACTTATAAGATTAGTAACAATAAAGTGTCCATTTCAGAAATTCCAATTTGAAGTCAAAAAATTCCCACAAGAACTGCTTACAATAACTAATTCTATAATATGTTGTAATAAGGCTTTTATTACCTGGCTTCATTTCTTCAGAATTTTCTTGCCTCAGGTTTCAATTCTTTTAACAGATTGTGTTGTCACTGGCTGAGTTTTCAAAGAAAGAATCGATTAATAAATTCAATGATATAAAAAGTGCAATACTTCAGTGGAGCATTCACTGAAAAATTTAATTTGGAAAGAGAAAGTTATTTTTATACAGGATTTAATCGTGAGCTTAAGAAGTGCAAAACCCTTTGATATTTTTGTTATCAGAATTGGTCAGCCAGTGCAGCTGTGAAGAAGTGTCATTAGAAATGGAGTCTCATCTGTAAAATAAATTGAAGTAGGAAATTGCTTGACTACAGAACAGTTTGAAGGAATAAAAACGTCTATAGTTAATTCATTCTTTTATGGTAAGCCCTGAAAGATCTTTGTACTGTCTGCTTTATTTTACTGATAAGTAACCCTTTCTGCTTTCTCTTGGCCTAACAACCAAAACAATATAGTCTAAAGATTCAGTAAGAAAAGAAGATTTTTATCTGTTAAATTAATTGTGTTGTCTGCTTGTATCAGGGAGAAACTATTATTTTCTCTGACTTTATAGTTTTTTTTTGTTTTTACTTGATACATTTTTATACTGTTGTTTGCCCAATACAAGCCCCAAGAGCCATTCAGGAATTATTGAGGAGAGTGTGAGAGGGGCATATTATGAGGATATATAGAATAGATAACTGTTGACCCTAGACATGAAGAGGTTAAGATTGTAGTCATCAGGGAAGCATTCTCTCAGGAGTCTGTTTTTGTAAGCAATTGTTCACCTAATACAAGGACTAAGAGGATTACTGAACAAAGTTGCTAAAATGTCAGATGATGAAAAAGCAAGGAGTGCATATTATGAGGATATGTAGGATAGATAACCGTTGACCCTAGACTTGAAGGGGTTAAGAGTGTAGTCATCAGGGAAGCATCCTCTCGGGAGTCTGTTTTGTACGATATTGTTCATCTAATATGAGGATTACTGAACAAGGTTGCTGAAAGGTCAGAAGAGGAGAAAACAAGGAGTGCATATTAATACAATATGTAGGATAGATAACGGTTGACCCTAGACTTGAAGAGGTTAAGATCATAGTGATCAGGAGAGCACTCTCTTGGGAATCTCACCCACAAAGTGGTTCTTGGAAAGAAGGTGTCTGAGTGAAACATCCTTGATATCAACAGAATACAAAGGAAATGCAGATGTTTCAACCCTATATGCATGGTATTTGAAACTAGACTGACCGTCTAGTTTATGTTCATGACTTATTATTCAGATTTTTATTGTTTCTTCTAGATACTTCTTGGTCACTGTGGAAGGCCGATGAGCACATCAACAGAAATGGGATCAAAATAACAAAGATAATGATAGAATAATAATTATTTTTCAATAATTTTTCAAGGACAAAATTGTGAGTTCAATCCTTGGACCAGTCATATGAGTATACACAGAGTTATTGGAAACAGGACTTGAAATAACTGATTAGTAAGATATGTAGGGATATCTGAACTTTGGTTAATCCCTTGGGATTATCCCTATACATAGGTAACAGAATGAGAACTACATACTTCTTTTAGATTGAATAAAAGATTCAGTTTGGAATATTCAGGATAACACATGAAGAAGGCTGGAGAGAGAAACAACCAAAGCACTGTGATCATAACAACAAATATGAGGACATTAGTCTGACTGTAAATAATGTAAATTCATTATTTTTCTTTGACCAATATGAGGCCTAAGAGACACTTAAGGTAGAGGTTTAGTGAATGTGGTTGTACTATGGACATAAATGGAAGAAGTAAGAAGTGAAGATTATGCAGAGGTTAACGATAGATAACAGATAACCCTAAACTTGAAGAATCTGTAGTTATCAGGGAAGCATCATCTCAGGAGTCTGTTCTGTAAAGTAAGAGTTCTTAAGAAGAAGATGGCTGAGTAAAATTTCCACTTGAGGTCTGGGCTGAGTTTAAGTCCCAATAAACAATCAAGGCACAACCCCTTCCCTTCCTCCAAGGGAACATCCGTTCATCATAAACTTTAATATTTTGGAATGGAAGAATGATGACTTCTTTAAAAAATCATTCATTAACTACACTAAAAACCATTGGTTGTTCCAGAATATAAAGAAATCAAAATAGCTATTGAAAACATGCTGACAGCCTCTTCTTTTATCGGCCATGGTCTTTCAAGATTTGAGGGATCATGGCTCTCACCAACTTTCTATCTTTTGTTACTCTAAATAAGATTCAATCCTTTAGCACTCCTTTTTGTCCTTTTTTGACAGTTCATTCACTCAAAGTCTATAAGTAGTTTTTTAAACTAAGATTCACAAGGCCCAAGAACCACTCAAGGTAGAGGGTTACTCTGTGGTGTTGTATAAGCATATAAAAAAAGGCAAGAAATGAAGTTGATGGGGTTATGCAAGGGTTTGCTTTAGACTCAAAGAGATCCCCAGACTGTTGTCTTTGCATGTGTGTCTGTATATGTGTCAAGAAGTCTTTAGACTAAAAGACCATCACATATCTTTTGTGAGGAAAGGAAGAATCATTCACTTTTCCATCCTTCTCCTTTGTCATTAGTTCACACTTCATGTGGCACTAACTCCCCCACCCCAGCAGAAATTCAGGTTTTTACACCACACCTGTCTCTTCATAACTTCATCTATTGACCAGTGAGAGTAACACATATTTTTCTTATCCTTGATTCTTACTCTGTCATGCTTTAGTGCTCTGATGGAAAGAAATAAAATGTCTTCTTGTTACTCTCAGCAAGAAGGAAGCCAAAAAAAGGTCCAGATTTATTATTGCCAATGTCACTGTTTCAACTGTTTATTTTACACAGGTAACTAAATCAGTCAATACCTGATGACTCAGTGTCCAAAGAATGCAGTCACACCCTATGAGGTTCCGGATAGTTTTTTTTTCATACACATCCTACCTTTTTAACCAGATCAGAATTCATAATTGCTGTGTACATAGTCATACACACACATGCACACAAACACACACATATATGTATATCTATAAACTAGGATCTCTTTCTGTCAACTAACTAGGTATATATATATATATATATATATATATATACAGTCCTTCTACCAGGGTTGAATAATATCAATGTACTTCGCGTTGGCTGAAATATATCTAACCCTCCCCATATGAGGTAATTTTTGGATTTTGTTGTAATATATATATATATATATATATATATATATATATATATATATATATATATATATATATATATATATATATATATATATATATATATATATATATATATATATATATATGTGTGTGTGTGTGTGTGTGTGTGCGTGTGTGTGTATATATATATATATATATATATATTTATATATATATAACAGCCCATTTGTAGAAAAAAGAAAAGGATGAAGATTACATTGGTCTTCTTTATAAAAATTATTTTATTTTTTCACTCATTAAAGGCTTTCCAAATTTGTTTAATGATCAACCAATCTGGCTTTATTTAGTATTTTAAGAAACTTCAGCTGAATGGATAAAAATAAAAATGGGAACTAGAATAGGCGAAAAAGAAGGTTGGTTATAAAAACCAGAATAGATTGATTCTATGAGAGAAACTGTCAAATGAACACCTGGTGTACCTGTGGCAAAGTTTCAAGTTTTTGCCTTCTTTATTGATTGCACTGCTTGCTTCTTTAGGGCTATAAAACCAATATTTTGGAGAAAAAGATGATCTTGGTGTTTCGGTTGGTGGTCCTGATGATGAGGAGGAGGAGAAGGAGGAGGAAAAAGTAGACAACAATAGACATGTTGATATTTATATCATGTAGGTTAATATAAATTTTGTAAGTACCTACTGAACAGAAATACAGTCTCACCATGAAAATCAGCATTTGAGACATTGCCTCTGGATTATAAAGTGTTGAGTCACAAATTTTGTTAATAGACACAGATTAATTCAAAGAGAGAGAGTAATTAATTTAGAAACAAAAACAAGAAAGAAATGACAAAACAGATAAGGAGGAAAAAAAATGAAGAGCAAGAGAAATAAAACAAAAGAGAAATTAAGTGCATGGCATCCAACCTACAAGATCAGTGATTAAAAATGGCTTCAAGTGAATGAATCATTTAGGGCTTAAAGAAGGATAATCCTTTATCAGACTTTATAGACTGGAGCTACAAAATGACAAAGAACTTCATCTAGTAAGAAAAACCTGCATCAGTTGAAGACTACCAACAGCAGTGACAACAAAAGTGAATAACACATGTAACTAAAAGGGAAAATAATTATACAATCAATATGTTAGCGTTCCACATTTTTTCTTTCTATATGTTGTATGCATTCAGGAAGTTGGCAATCATGGCTCTCTACAATTTCCTGTCCTTTGTAGCTCTTAATAACTTTTGCTTTTTTTTTTTGCTTTCTCTTCCAAACCCTGCTCTGCCTTTGGCATACTTACCTTCAGTCTGTCCTGTGAGTATAAAATTTTCCAAGCCCTCTTTCCTCATTATATCCCCCTAGAAATTTCAACTCTCTCCTTCTAATGTTTTTGTTACCATTGTTTCTAGAACTTTGTTGTTGCTTACATGTTTAGGCTATGGTATTCTCAGCATCCTTCTGTAGACCCACATTTCTGTTGCTTCATGTTTCTTCTT